AAAACTCAACACAATTATAAACCAATTCTTCAAATTTGTACTAGGCCAAGGCTATTAAACTCGAAGCTAGGCCCCGACTCGGCCGGGCTAGACGACCGGAGCTATAATTTCACTTGTCTAACACGTCCATTGATCACGTCTACCTCTATATAAATTGACATAAAAGAAAAACTTTCTTTACGAAAAAAAAAAAAGGGGCTGAAAAAATAGGTTTCGCCCTCGTATTTTGATAATAGGTATTCTCTCGTGAATGGGCTTTCCCACATCATCTTAACTCCATTGTTTTTTTCCCAATGAAATTGCATCCCCACCTCATCCCAAACAAGTAAAATGATATAAAAGGGTCGAATATAGGTTTCGCCGTTGTATTTTGATAATAGGAATTCTTGCGAACGGGCTTTCATATGATCTCACTTGCCTGAACCCGCCCATTGATCGCATCTACTTTTATGTAAATCGAAATGAAAAACTTTTTCTTTTGAAAAAATCGAGGTTGACCAAAGGTTTCGCCCTTGTAATTTGAAAACGGATAGCCTTGTGAATGGACTTTTCCTACCCCATATTAACTCCGTTGTTTTTCCCGATCGAATTGCATCCACGTCTTCTCCTAAACAAATAAAATCGACATTCCGCGATTGATCAATGGTTTAATTAGCTCCAAATTAGCCTTGCAAAAGCTCGAAACGGCCCATGTGAAACAGTCTCTTTTGCATCACCACCTCATCCTAAAACAAATAGAATCTGCATTCCGAAATTAATTAACTAATTAATTATCTCCAACTTATCTTTACAAAAGCTCGAGAAGGCCGACATGAAACGGTCTCTTTTTTTAATCCCCACCTCATCCTAAACAAATAAAATTGACATATCAGAATTTAATTAATTGTTTGATTAGCTCCAAATTAGCTATGGAAAAGCTGGAAAAAGACCCACAATGAAAAGTCTCTTTTTGCATCACCATCTCATCTTAAACAAACACAAAAGTTGACATTCCAAATTTAATTACCTAATTAGCTCCAAATTAGCTTTGGCAAGGCTAGAAAAAGGCCAGTATGAAGCGGTCTCTTTTGCATCACCACCTCATCCTAATCAAATAAGTTTCACATTTCCAAAATTAGTTGATTGATTGATTGATTAGGTCCAAATTAGTTTCGCAAAAAGATCGGAAAAATACCAGCAATGAAACAGCCTCTTTTGCATCCCCACCTCATCCTAAACAAAAAAACATCCACATTCCAAAACTGATCAATTATCTCCAAATAAGCTTTGCAAAAGCTCGAAAAGACCAACGCAAAATAGTCTCTTTTGTGCATCTTTCTCCTAATAAGGCATCAATGAGAAAAATTATATAAAAAGTCTTAAGCCTATTTGCCAATTCAGTTCTAAGCTTTTTAATTGTGTCAATTGAATTTTAAATCTTTTCATATTTTGTCAATTGAGTCTATTCGGTCAATTTTTACCGAAAATCGCTAACGTGGATGCCGACCGTCCTACATGACAAGGCCGGCACTGACATGGATAATTTCTAATAATATTTTGATTTTTTTTGATTTTTTTTCTCTTCTTTTTTCCTTTTTTGTTTCATTTTTCCTTTCTTTCTCTTTCTATTTTTTTCTTCCCTTCCTCCTCTACCCTGTCGCCGAGCCTTGGCGACCGATCAAAGGCGAGTGCTAGCAGGGCGAGATTCGCTAGAGACCAGAAAGCCTCACCGGCCTTTAGCGACCTGCTAGAGGAAGAAGGGAAGTAGAAAAATAAAATAAAATAAAAAAATCAATTCGAACAAAATTAAAATATTTATTAAAAATTGATCACATTAGTGTTGATTGTTCCACATTGGACGGCCGGTGTCCACGTTAGTGATTTTCAGCCAAAATTGACCGAATGGACTCAATCGGCAAACCATGAAAATATTTAAGATCAAATTAGCAAAAATGCACTAAGCTCATGACTTTTTAGACAATTTTCCCCAGCACTAAGTCGTTACATATCTCATCGTATCTCGCACCATATAGTTAATAAACTAAACCCCGAAAATCAAGAAGCCAGCGTTGTGGAGCTGTCCAGATGCACGAATCCAAGATCTTGCAACACACTTTTGGTGCAATTAATTAAGCAAATTAATCGGTGTCTTAAAGTTAAACAACTGTCTAATCACCCTTTTCCATGCTGCCACCCATCTTTCCCTTTACTTTAAAAAAACAAAAGAAAAAAAGGGGGAGAAAAAGGGAAATTCCACAGGACGTATCTGGCACAACGTGGGAGGTCGGGCCGGTGGCAACTTCCTTCTTGTCCGGTTATAAACAATAATTTCCATAAATAGATTTTATTTATCTATCTATCTATCTATTTATTTATTTATGTGTCTTTTGGAACGACAAGAGAAGAACGTATAGAAGAAGACGGTCCGGTCACGTGCCGGAGCACGTCCTCCACGTTCGAGCCGTCGGTGCACGTGCACCGTCCAGATCGTCGCCGTCCGCGGCCGCCGTTATCCAAGAAGCACCAAGCACGAAGTACACGTGACTTCGCTTTTCTGGATAATTTGGTTTTTTTTTTTTCACAGAAACTAAAATTGAAATTGGATAATTTTTGTTGGCTTGCGTGCAAAGTAGATAAAAGTTCCGACCCAAAAAAAAAACAATTAGATAAAAGTCAATTAATTTCGGCCTAGATTGACCGAAAAATAAATAATTAAATGAATTTTAGCCTAGAGTGACTCGACTGAGCTGCATTTATTTGAGAACAAAATCATGTCGTTGATGAAGTTGGGACGGGTTCGGTTCCACAATGATCGAAACCCGATAAGCGGATGAAATGAGCTCGGTGCTCTGTGAGAATTTTTCAAGATTTGATCAAGTCGAGGACATACGATCAAGTTGAAATCTCGATGTCGCGTGGCATTTTCATCCCAATCGTATTCTATTGGCACCATGGGTCGGACACTCGAAATGGCCTCGTTTTTGGGAACATTGAAGATAAGAGGGCGGGGAGATCTTGCTTCATCTAATCTGTCGTCGACATTGCACAACCAGTGTTCTGTGAGAATTTTCAAGATTCGATCAAGTCGAGAATATACGATCGACTCAAGATCTCAATAACATGCGACCTTACGCCGTATCGGCATTTTCAGCCGGTCATATTCTATCGACACCATGGGTCGAACATTCGAAATGCCTCATTTTGCAAACATTGGAGATACGAGGGCGAAAGAGATCTCATTTCCTCTAATGCGGTCCGATTTCACTCGAAAATTGAGGACATTAAATTAACCGATCAGAGCGTACATCGACCGTTCCTTTCGACGTTCATGCACGTCTCGAATGTGAACGCTCCTCTTTTTTTATTTATAATTCACGCCTCACATGTGCACACAAGAGATTGGAGTACATTCTCACTCATGGAGTATCCAATAATTCCTTCAATGATTCCACCCCTTGTTTCAAAACAAAAAAAATCATGCTTGGACTTACTCAAGACTTCAAAAACCCTCGTTTTATAAAGTTTCAACGTAGCTGGCGGATTATGCTATTCTCATCATCAAATCGGCTTCTTTTCTTTGGTAGTTTATACGTCGATTCTCTCTTTTTTTGTGGAAAAAAAAAAGGGTTACATTCGGACGCATACGATGCGAGGAGGATCTTAAAGATTACGATGAACTGGACAAATAAAGAGGCCAAGGTTTGTGCAGCTCCCAGAGGAATTCCCAACATGGGCCGGCCCCCACATTTACCCAAGGCTCGAGAGTAGATGACAACATTTTTTTCTTTTTTGTAATTTACCATTATCATCTCGATAACAACGGGAAATATATATGTTTATTATGTCATCGGGATGCTCATTCGAAGTATCTAATAAGGAAAAATATAATAATGAATGCGCACGCGAAGAGAAAAACGAAAATTACTAATTAATTCGGTTCAAAACTTTATAATTTTGCCAACGTAACTAAATATTTGTGTGGAATTCGAATGTAGTTTTTCTTGCAACTTGTTCTAGGATGTCCGGCGATTAGTGGATGCCACGTCAGCAATTTCCGGCAGTAATTGCCGGAAAGACTATTTGGAGTTTTGCGCGAAGGTTTAGGACCATGTTGGCAAAATTGGAAAATTTAGAACTGAAACGATCAGCATCTGTGCAATGGGATCAAGATAGTCACGATTCTATCAATCAATAAGCGACTAAATAATAAAATAAACAAAACGAGGAAATAAACCTTATATTGGATTTTGAGTAATTCGGTCAATGCGACTCACTTCACGAAGAGAGCAATAAAGCAATTCCATGGAAATTACAACCATACTTGATTAGTCAAACACTCTCTCTATTTCCTAACTTTTAATTATACTCAATAACTCACATAATGTTTAGCGCTCACAATTCTCACAAAATTACCTTTCAATCTCTCAAAGAAACTCACAAGATCTCATGCAAGATTCATTGGTTTCAAAACACTTGCGATTTCTCTAGGATAGAATTCACGAGCGCGTCGTGCAATTGAATGTTACCGTTAGGAACCCTTTTCAAGAAATCCACTCAAGTTAAATCACCACTCAAACTAAGAAAATCTACTCGAATAATCATTCAAATTAAGAAACATATGAATCGGGTTTCTTTCACGGGCTCAAGCTCTAGAAGACGGAAATCAGATGATGTGGTCCAATTACACCCTAAATCCAATGGAGGGGGCAACCATGCACATGGGGGTTGTGGGATCACCATGAACACATCTTCATCCTATTAATAATGATCATGAGCTGTACATGATTCTTGGGCAAGCAAAAAAAAAAAAGAAATGCTTTCCTAAGTTTGAAATTCAAAAGGAAAAGTTTGAAATTCGAACCATTCGAAAAGAAAAAAAAGGGCCCAATTCATCCATCCATATGAGAGAATAATTTAACGAACAGATTAATAAAAGGAGCAAAAGCCCAAGAAGCAAAGCCCCAGCATGCGCGCCACGTGGCGCCCGAGGCCCCCTATAGGCTATAAGAACGACCCTCGATCACGTATCTCAAGCTCACTTTCACCAGCAAATATCCCTTGAATCTCTCTCTCTTCTGTTACCTTTCGATCTCCCTGTTTTCCAGCCCATCTTCTTCAAAGCTCGTTCAAGAGGGGTTTCTGCAGAAGGAAAGAAGAGCAGAAAATGGCGGACGAGGGCACGATGAACTGCATAGACATCCTCCTCGCCATCATCTTGCCTCCTCTGGGTGTCTTCCTCAAGTTCGGCTGCAAGGTGATGATCCCCACTTCTGATCTTATGCTCCACATCTCCCTTTCTCTTCTCTCTTTTTTCCCATTTCTGTTCTCTTTACTTTGCTTTTAATTCAGAGGGAAAGAAACTGGTTTGCCTTGAAGTTGAGAGTTCTGGTTTTCATAGTAGGGTTTTTGTCAGTTTTATGTAGGGTGAAAGTTTCATTTATTGGAGGCAAAATTTTTTATTTTTCTGTACTCAAGTATGGTTGCAAGGTGATGATCCACACTTCTGATCTTATGTTCCACATCTCCCTCTGTTTTTTCCTCTTTTTTGTCCATTTTTATTCTCTTTACTTTGCTTTTAATTTAGAGGGAGAAAAAACTTAATTTGCCTTGAAGCTGAGAGTTCTGGTTTTTCTAGTAGGGTTTTTGTCAGTTTCATGTAGGGTGAAAGCTTTATTTTTTGGAGGCAAAATTGTTAATTTTTTTTTTCTGTCCTCAAGTATGGTCGCAAGGTGATGATCCACACTTCTGATCTTATATTCCACATCTCCCTCCCTCTTTTTTTTTTTTCTTCTCGTTTTTTCCATTTTCATTCTCTTTACTTTGCTTTTAATTTAGAGGGAAAGAAACATAATTTGCCTTGAATTTGAGAGTTCTGGTTTTCTGGTAGGGTTTTTGCCAGTTTCATGTGGGGGTTGAAAGCTTTACCTTTTGGAGGCAAAATTTTTATTTTTTATTTATTTTTCTGGTTTCTTAATATTTAAGCAAGAAAGGAAAAGGGGACTATGATTTTTTGAATATATATAAATTATATTGGGAGGGTTTTGTTTTTGATACTGAATTTTGACTATGTAATGTATGTGTATGCAGGTGGAGTTCTGGATCTGTGTGCTACTCACGCTGTTTGGCTGGATTCCTGGCATCATCTATGCCATCTATGCCATTACCAAGAACTAAACTTGATTGAGTAAGCTCTCTCTCTCTCTCTCTCTCTCTCTATATATATATATTTATATAATTACGAAAAATATTATTAGTTCCAAAAAGAAAACAAAAAAAAAAAGAAAAAAAGGGATTATTACTTACATAATAATTAGAAGATAAAATTTCGAGACCCAAAAAAAATGGTGGATAAACTTATATGATGATTCAGGGTGGGCAATCCGCTAATTATCTGTTTCCCTTTTATTTTTTTTTAAATTAGATATCATAGATCGGGGCACGTGTATGGATGGTGTGCGCTTTTCGAAACCAAGCCACTGCAATGACACGTGTCCAGTAATACGTGCGAATTTAGGGGTTAAAAAAAAATCTGATTTTTTTCCGTGTGTATTTTTTTCTGAATTTTTATTTTTTTTTGACAGGTGGCGATAGGTGAGAGGCCAATGCGTGCGCGCCTCCCATCCAACGGTCGCGGATATCGTGGGATTTCCAACCAGCTTCGAACGCGTCGGAAGTCCCCCTTCTCTTCCTCGTTTCGTTTTCGTCACCGTCGTTAGTTGTGCGTAGCGTGATGTTGATTTGTATTGTCGTGTATTCATTTCATTTTCTTCTGTAAAGCGACGTGGCGATCTTTAGATTGTCGGCAGATTTTTCGGATATGCTTTAATATCATTTCTTTCATCGACCCCACTTGAGATTTTTCCTAATAAAAACATTGAGGATATGCTCGAACGTTCGGTTACGAAATTATTGTAGGCATAAGTCATCGTCGATAACAAAAATTGTATTCATTTCTTTAATCGACCCACTTGAGATTTCCTCATGAAAAAATTGGGGTACGCCCGAATGTTCGTGAGCAGGAAAAACAGTTCACGAAATATTAGCGATAATGAAAACATTATTCATTAGCTAATTATACGAGGCAAACCGGGTGATATATTTCGGAAAATTAGTTTTAAAATTTTTTTTTTTTCGCGGAACAAACAGAAGCTAAATGCGTCTCCACCTCCTGTCTTTTCAAATAACTAGATAATTATGCAAAAGCAAGCTTACGTTTTTGGTGTTGAATGGCAGTTAGAAGGGGAATTTGAGATTTCGTAACCAATTTCGAAAAATGTAAAAGAAAAGGACAATGAGAAGGAGAAGTAGGCTCCCGCTTAAAAGGGTTCCACAATTTCCTTGCTTTAATGTACGACTTTCAATCAGGAAAATAGATTGGCATTTCATAACATAACCAAGATTAATTTAATTTTGAGAATATCCAAATACATAATCGAATAAAAAGTAAAATTTCCTCGTGTGGTCTCGAAAAAGTAAGGTCAATGTCATATAAAAGACGAGATCGTTTTCGTGATAAGCGCAATGATCCATTCATTCATTTCATTGGGACTTGCTGATTCACGTGCCATTGATGTTAGCATTGAAAATGAAAGGATATCTTCTCCTAGGTTTGAGTCTTAGGCAGCGAAATTTGAAAAAAAAAAAAACGTGCATTTGATACCGTCGCGACCATAATTACAACAACCGACAAATTAAAGGATGGAATGGAAAGCATAGGAATTTTATTTCCAATTGCACTTCCTTTTCATCTTCTCACTTTTTTAGAGACATGTGTGATGCTCGAGTCTAACTTCATTTGAATTCCCATCTTATTTCTCTATCGTCAACCCACATTGAGAAACGAGAACAAACCACACCAATTTCAATTCTATATTTAGGGTGTGTTTATTTCGGACAAATTTTCATGATTAATAGGAAAAATGACACAAATGATCTCTGAAGTTTGGCCCAATGTGCAATGTCGTCCCTCAACTTTTAATTTATTCAATATAGTCCCTAAACTTTAACCTAATGTGCAATGTCATCCCTAAACTTTTAAATTATTCAATATGATCCTTAAACTTTGGGAAAATTCCAATTAAGGACCCCAAGTGGGGTTAAATTCTCAAATAAGGACCCAAAGTGAACATTGTGTCAAATAAGGGTCTAAAGTGCCCAATCAGTCTCAAATAAGGACCTGGGTCCCCGGCCGGCCAAAATACCCGCCGGCGGCAGAAAGTTGCTGTTCAAGCACGGAACAAGATCTTTCATTTTTTTTTTTTTTCCTTTTCCTTTTCCTTTCTTTCTTTTTTTCTTCTCTTCCTCCGCCGGCCATAGCCGGGGCCGGCGGAGGTCGCCGACCTCAAACTAAGAAACCATCCCCATTCAGAAAAATTGGATCGAGGTTTCCTTTTTCCAAACAAAATCTGAGTTTTCTTTTCTTTTTCCTTTTTCCTTTTTCCTTCTTTGACAGGTGCAGAGATTTGAGTGGCTAATTGCGCCCTCTAATCCAGCAGCCGCCCGCTGATTTTCTGTGCGATTCGATCATCTTCGAACGTGTCGGAAGTCCTCCTTTCTCTTCGTCGTCGTTTTCATATGTATTTCGTCATTAGTTGTCTGCAATGTGCCGATGATTTGAATCGTGGCATTCATTTCTTTTGTAAAAGCCGTGACGTGGCGCCCTCGAGTGTCGGCAGATTTTGGTATTGTGCTTTAATCCCATTTCGTTCATTGAGCCCCACTTGGGATTATTTTTTTTAATGATATTTCCTAATAAATAGTGGGATATGCTCGAACATTACAGCTCGCAACTTTCGTCGTACCATGCTCTCCAAAGAACAACTCTTATCAAAATCGAGAATTGAAAAAGATCCCGATGGCCAAAATAAAGTATTACGAGTCATCTTTGCAAAGACATAAATGAAATGATCTGGAGAGTGGTATGGCTTGCATAAATGAATAAACGAAAAATATTTTCGGCTTTCACGAAATTGTTTGGATAAATTGTTACCGATAATAGAAATATTATTCATTGGCTGATTATATCGGGTGATGCGAGCAATCAGTTTTTGGAAAAAAAAAATTCGCATAATTCATTTTCTGCAAGACAAATGGAGTCATGGTGCGTTTGTTTCATCGAAAACTTTCATAATAAAAGAACAGGGAAAATGACTAGTTTTAATTAGTTTGGTGATTTAGGAAAAATGATTTCCTTCTTACCGAAAGGGAAAGTTGTTTTTCTTGATCTTAAGTTTTGTTATTTTCAGTCCATGGAAAACAATTTCCATGAATCGATTAGTTTTCCGTCATCAAAATATTGAAAAGTCGAAAAACAATTTCCCGAAAATCAGTTTTTCTTCCAACAAACTAACCCTAAATTCATCTCCATTTTCCGTCTTTTCAGATAACCGGATAATTATGCAAAAGCAAGCTTACGTTCACCGCGTTTGAATGGCAGTTACAACGGGAATTAGAGATTGGGAACCAATTTCGAAAAATGTAATTAAAAAGAAAAGTGCGATGAGAAAGAGAAATAGGCTTCCGCTTTAGAGAGGTCCTAAACATCCTTGCTTTAAAATAAACGACTTTCAATCAGGAAAATTTAATTTTGAGAATATCCAAAAATTTCAATACCTTTATAAAAATTCGAGATTGTCAATAGCCAAATACATATGCGGGAATTATTCGAATAATAAGTAAAATGCCCTCGTGCTATCATGAAAAAAGTAAAAATTGCGATCGGTGCCACGAAAAAAAGATGAAACCATTTTCGCGGTAATCGCAAGATTCATTCATTCATTCATTTCGTCGGGAGTTGGTGATTCACGTGCCACGGATGTCAGCATTGAAAATGAAGGAAGGATATCTTTTCCTTATTTTTCGATTTCACTTGACCAAATTACACATGATAATCTTCTCCTAGGTTCGAATCTCAGGCAACGAAATTTGAATAAAAAGTTCACTCGAGACCGTCGCGACCATAATTATAACAACCGACAAATTAAACGATAGAACGGAAAGCATAGGAATTTCATTTCTAATTGCACTCTTATTTATGTCCATCTTCCTACTTTTTTAAGCGACGTACGCAACACTGAGTCTAATTTCATTCGAATTCCCATCTTAGTTCTCTATCGCCAACCCCCATTGAAATATAGGAACGAAACACACTAATTTCGATTCTATTTTATAATTATCTTTTCCTAGCTTCGTACAAAACGATGTGTTTTGCTCTAAACCCTAACTAGAGTTAAAGGTGAGGGAGTACTTTGCTTTTCTTAGCCATATAGTAAAAACAAGAGAGGAAGATGCTAGGATTTCTTTGGAAAAGCACTTTTGTCATGGTATCGTGTTGTTTATGGTCGACCTACGCACAAACTGAACCATCGACATCTGCATAATTGGCATTTTTGGCTTCAACTTACCAACCCTAGTCCCACCATGGACCAACCCTGCTGAAATCTCGAGCTTAATGGTTAAGCAAATGTTTACTCTTTTGGTTTGAAAAGATAGTCAATTTGAAGGAACGATTTTTCTTCGATGAAATCGGTGTTTCGGGTCGAGAATGCTTTTCTCGAAGGATTTTTCCTAGAGAAAGATCTTGTTTAGGTCATGGGGAGTGGCAAGCGACAACGACAGATAGTGATGGCGATAAGAACGCATGCGACAACACTTCTTGAATTGAGCAAGTGTTCTCCGGCGATTGCTTAATGTGGGTGTGTGTGAGAGAGAGAGAAAGAGAGATGAAAAAATTAAGTGAGAAATGAAATAAATTAATGCCCTAGACGAGTTCTTTCTTTCTTTCTCTTAGCTATTCTTTGACACTTTTTTCTAATTAAGTTCCTATACTATTAACTTGTCTAATCAATTACTTTTTAACTTTTACGAATTCCCTACTTTTGGACGTTGAAATCCGGCCAAATCTAGCCGACATGCCTGTCGGATGGAAAACATAGCGTGATGGTTAGGTCTGCTGATATATTTGGTGTAACAGAGACTTGATTATATGGCGACTTGAATAGAGAAACTAAAAATAAAGGAACTTTGATTAGAAAAAAAAACGTGAAAGTACAGTGATAAAAGGTAGAATTTTTCCTTTTGACAATAACATCTAATATATCCAGAGAGAGAGAGAGAGAGAGAGTCCAAGGATGAAGCCTCGAGGGGGGGAAAGAGAGCCGTTAGTCTATGCTCAAATTGAGGTGGTTGCGTACACGTCGAGCATTATTTCCCCGACAGGGGAAAGAGAGCCACTAGTTTCTGTTCAAATCGAGGTGGTTGCACTTGCCTACACGTTGAGATTCATTTCCCAATTTCAGGAAACGGTTGAAGACTAGGTTGCAGATCAGAAGAACGGACAGAGACGTGTGAAGATGACACACGAAATAGCCAAGTTTGTCAACTATTTAATACTTGAAGCCGACGTCAACTTTACTCATTCACAATGTGCCGATGACCAACAACATAAAAGTCCCTTCGGCATGTCTCAAGCATGACAGGTGGGAGAAGGAGGATTTCTCTTGTGCTTCAATAACAATAAACAGAAACTGAACTGGTCTTTTAAGTGATTCGTGATACCGACCAAGACATACCCGGATACCCAAATTTGGTTGTCTATCGAACTGTTTAGACCCTCAGGCGAAAGCAACTACACAATAGATGTACTTTTGTAGGCTTATAGACAAAGAGGACGATGCACAGACTGTCTGTGCATCAGCAAGGCCCGCTTTGCATTGTCTTCGATCGAAGACGACGATGTATGTGTTAAACCATTTTTGAGCAAATGGTCTGTGATCAAAACCGCGTATCATCAAGGCCTGCTTTGAATAAAACCAATCCAGCCACCTCATCCTTCCCGGTTTTGAGAACACTTAAGATCCCAAGCAAGATGTCCGTGCAATAGTTAGAAAGCG